ATATTTAAGTCACAAGTTAAATATTTAGCTTGTTAATTAAATATTAAATTTGTAAGTTAAATATTTAGTTTATAAACTATGACATTTATAAATGAATGAATCATATGGTGAAAAACTGATTTTGAAAATAAATCTGTTCTTTTTTTTCTTATAAAAGGCTAAATAAAACAAAAATATTGGTGGTAATTTTTGACTGTAACTTTACAAACGGCACCCCTTAATTGTGAGCATAAATATCAGGTTAATTTCTGTCTCTCAATGATTAATCTGAACCATTCTTTTCTCAGGTTGGAATATTTATATAAAATACAACTTTAATGATTTTCAGTAACAAATATTGTTCCTTCTGTACAAAAACTCTTTAAAATAGATGAAATGCTCAGAAACACCATCATGTTGTGTGTTTGTTCAGAAGTTCATCCTGATGAGCAACCCCAGCCGAGTGTACACCATCATCCAGCCCGACCTGCCGGCAGCTAACGGCATCATCCACATCATCGACCGGCCAATCACAAACTCGCTGCCCGACAGGTCGCCTCGTGACCAACAGGTGAGACGGATCGTTCACGCACCTGTCAGCAGCTGTTCACAAGAAACAAAACATTTGTTTCCTTTTTGACAAGTTTGCAGACAAGACGATCGGGGAGATTCTGACCAAAGATGAAAAATTCAACCGTTTCCTGTCTTTGGTTGATGTGAGTCTACAGAACTCTTTTTATTTCAATATGAGTTGTTTGATTTGAAACAGCGTCTGGATTAATTTAACTCTTATTTGTTCTGAGTTGATGAGTTTAAAATAACTAACTCTAGTAAAAGGTCAAGTATTAAGGGTTGAAACTGTTTGTAAAAATCATTGTTTTTGAACAGACGTGTGTTTTTTATAGAACTGCGGGTCTCCTCCTCCTCTTCGTGGACCAGGACCCCTCACCGTGTTTGTCCCCACTAACGAGGCGGTGGATCGGGCCCGAGACGGCAGCATCCTGTACATGCTGAACGATGTGAGGAGGCGGTTTATTATCTGACTGTAGAAGCTGCATAAAGGACAGTTTCAGCTCCTGCAGACAGAAAACTCTGCAGCCTTTCGGTTTACTTTAAAGGCATCAATGATCAGTTATAACATTAGACTTTATTAGATAAACATTTAAAATAAAGACTGTAAAATTACTGTAGGCATCTGACAATGATAGAAGACAACAGATGGAAGAACCTCATCTTAACCCGTTAGCTTTAGCATTAGCCCCGACGCTATCACCACATATATGTATTAGTTCAACGCTACACATTCTCCTCTCGTCACTGAGGTCCTCCATCCACATGACAGAGAGGGGAACACAAAAATGACTCAGCTGTAACTGAAAATATGGATGAAGGACCTCAGTTTAGCTTGTTTGTCGCGCAAGCGCTGAGCTAATACATATAAGGCAGTATAGCGTCAGAGCTAAAGCTAACAGGCTAAGCTGAGGTTGTTCTTCCYTGAAGCAGCTCTGTTGTCCTCCATCCATATTTTCAGTTCCAGGCTGAGTCATTTCTACCTTCTCCTCTCTGTCAACGCTCTCTGGTTTCATTTAAAAGAGTCGATCATCAGATATTGTCCAAGATTAACCTTCAGGGTGGATATAGCTCGCTAGCAGCCTCGCACCGAGGACCTATCCACGTCATCATTTACCCAGAATGCTTTGTGTGGAAATAAAATGGCTCCGTCTGTGTTAAAATATATTTTTAAACTTTTAGTTTAAAAATGATAAAAACTAAACATCCTACAGTATTTTTACAGTCTTTATTTTACAGTTAAAATAAATGTTTATTAAATAAAGTCTAATGTTACAACTAATCGGGGATCCATTTAACAGTGAAGAAATATAATTTTAGTTTCTTCATTTTTAGTTTTTCAGCTTAAAAAGATTACATTTTGTACAAAAGTTAAACTGCAATCTTTTCCCCAGCAAACAAAAATATGAAAAATACAGATAAAATAGTGAAAACACCAGAAATAATAACACTAAGACACACAGGAAACACTTCGTCTTAGTTTAACAAAACTAAAGATGTTTTCTGTTTAGGTGTTGAATGTGTGCCTAATTAATCCTCTACAAACTATGTCCATCTAACCAAGTCTTTTTAGCTTCTATATCAGGGCTATTCAACTCAACTGCTCCGGGGGCCACAGTTACTGCAGAATAACCGCTCAGGGGCCGAATATCCAGCAAATAAAGTCATTATGTAAATAAACCAAGTATTACAAAGATCTGTTACCTTTGAAATAGTTTATTTTGCTGCATTTAATCATGCATATAACTTACAGAACCTTATGTAATAAATGTAGTTATACTAGTAAAACTATCAAAAACAAGAAAAACACATTCTGACTCCTGTTTAACACAAATAATATTTTAACATCTCTGACTTTTTAAACCAATTTTATTTTGGCTTTCATAATTTTATATTCAACTGCTTGTAATTTTAACTGTCTTAGATGTTCATAGAAATATTTTTACCAGCTTGTAGCCAAGATTCTGACGTTTCTGTAGAAACCAAACATGTCTATGTTTAACTAAAAGAACTTAGAGTAATTAAAGTAGAAAACCAGGGGTTTGGGCTTAATGAATGAACCAATTGGCGGGCTGAACTTTGGTCACTCGGGCCGCCAGATGAATAGTCCTGGTCTATGGGGTCAAAACGTTCTTTTGATCATATTCTGAGAGTCTAAGCGAGAGCAGAATGTGTTTCATTTTTTATCTTGTTTGCCTGGAAAGTTTCCTTATTTTAAGATTTGCGGTTGTCTCATTCCATTAGCAGATTATCCCACTTAATTTGAAAAATTTGAGAAAATTCAGACTCAAATTAAGTGAAATAATCTGTCAATGGAATAAGACAATCTTACAATCTTAAAAGGAGAATTTCTCTTGCTTTGTACATAAGTCTCAAAACAAGATAAAAATATTTTGTCTAGATATCAGATTAAAAGTCTTAGAGGGTTAAAGGGGTGTTTTTTGCAGACTAAACATCAAAAACAAGTCAAATTAAGCTATTTAAATAAGTGTTTATAGAAATGATCTCAGAGTTAAACAGGAGCTGAGTGAAACAGGTTGCCATAATTTAAACAGAATCTCTGGACTGAAAATCATTACTGCCCCCTGCAGGCTCCACAGAGCATTACTGTTTAAACCAGAGCTGTGGAGTTTAAACAAAACTTATTTTATTACATTAAAAAAACATCTGACGAGGAGAAATAGACTTGACATGAGGATAATATAGACAAGCTGATGGGAAGAGTGGCTGCAGCTGTGACTAATAAGGCCCAGGTGAGGTGGGCGTGGCAGGTCTGAGGAGCAGACACTGAGTCCTGAGAGCAGTGGATCAGAACACGAAGACAAAAACAGTGAAGCAAAGACAGAAAACTTTCATTTTACTTTAATTTATTTATGAAAAGCTTTTATGTTTGGTTTCATTTAAAATGTTATAATTAAACAGATTTTTAAACTGTTTGTCTTTAATCTGCACCTCTTGAAAAACATCTTTAGTTTAAATTAAGGATTCAAATCAACGTGTTGGTTTGAAACTTATTACGTTATTTTTGTTTTATAAGTAAAATCATTTTTGACAGTTTTTTTTTGTGTGTTTGTTTTTAGGCCAAACATAAACTTCAGGAGCTACTCAGACATCATGTTTTCTCCCAGGCTGTGGTAAAATCCTTTATATTGTTTTATTTTTCTTTTACTGCTTCAGATGTCACACACAGAAAGATATAATGTGTAAAAGAAACAAAAATGATTTTTAGTCTTTGACTTGTGGAACCAAAATGGCTTCAGATGGAGCTGTTTGAATTCATTTTATATGAAAATATCCTGTTGTCTCAGTAATTACCTTTAACGATTGATGGTTTGTGAGTAATGAAGTAAATATTTAATAAAGTTTTTCTGTCTGCAGCTGACAGTCGACGAGTTGGCTGCTCTTCCTGGCATTCGGACGATGGCCAATCAGTTGGTCTCTATCTCTGCGTCAGAAGACGTGAGCGTCTCTCATTGATTTGATTTGATTTATTGATTCAACAGGAAAAGATTACTAAAAATCAAGCTTGACTCAGCATAATTGCTGTTTTACTGCAGGTTCCTGTTCTGCAGCACATAAAACACAGAATTACAGCATCACAATCACATCATTATTATTACACCATAGACACAAAGACAAACAAGCATACCAAATTTCAGGAAGGCAGCATTAGCAAAATAGGATGTCTAAATATGAGCACAACAAAAAGTGTCCAGCAGATGGCAGACAAGATTCTTCTTAAAGGGCTGTAGTTTTGAAATGGACTTTATGTTTTGAGGAATGTCATTCCATGCTTTAGTATAAACATAGAAGAAAGACCTCTGGCCGTAACAGTTTTTAAAAGTTGGTAATATCAATGGTCCTTTTTATAAATTAATTTAATTACGTTCGACTGACGCTCTCCGTTTCCCTCCTCGCCCTGCAGGGGGAGCTCCAGCTGGACAAGAAGGGCATTCGACTGGCGAGCAGCAACATCGTGGCGTCCAACGGGATCATCCACATGATTGACGGGCTGCTGTACCCGCCCTCCATCCTGCCCATCCTGCCCCACCGCTGTGACATCACCGAGAGTAAAATCACTGTGGTGAGAAGAGCTCAGCTTCAGCTTTGTTTTGGTCAGTTAGTGATGTTCGATACTGCTAGTTTTCTTTCCAAAACTGATACCAAGTAAAATGTGGCTGGTATCGGCGATACTGATCCAATACTGATACTTTGTGAAAACAAACATAATGTGTCTGTAAAATCTTAAAAAGTACTGCTTTATAAATAATTGCTTTATAAATAACCACTTTGTAAATAATACATGACATAGTAAGTCATTTATTAATTTAAAAGTCTTTCTAACCTCTAACCCTAACTTTATATTTGTTTAGCACAATTTATATTCTTATCCTTAAGAAATATAATAAATTTTGAATAGTGAATAAAAGTAAGAAAAAATATTCTAAAAGTTGTTACTTTGTGTATTTTGTAGCATTGTTTGTGTGTTTGCAAGAAGGTATCTGGCCAGAGCTAATGCTGTTTGGGGGGCCATAGCATGAAAATGTTTGGGAACCCCTCATCTAGAATTTAATTACAGACAGTCAGAAGACTAAGATTTTATGTTAAAATGACCTGCCGTACATGTACAGACTGAGTGACTGATGGAGCACGTGCCACTGTGCTGATGCTTTACTCAAGCGGAAGAAAAATTAGTTCCCTCCAGCCACATGTTTAAGACAAGATTGGAATAGTTTAGTTATTTTCCACTATTTTCCTGTTGATGATCAACATTATGTGAAATAACTAAAGTATCCAAAGTATCGATATTTTGATTTTAGTATCGATTCTAGAACATAAAGTTCTGGTATTGTAGTATCGATATTTCAGTATCGATCTGCACATCACTACTGTTAGCAAAATATGTCATGAATCGGTGGATTCGCTCTTACTGTTTCTATTCTTAAATATTCCACACTAACATCAGTTTTGTTTGTTTTTAGGGTCCGTGTGTTCACTGCAGCTTCCTGTCTGAGACTCAGTGTCCTGAAGGCAGCGTGGAAATGGTAAATAATTCGTGAGACTCTTCGGCTGTGAGCCTCTGAGGAAAGCTGAAGAAGTTTATGTTGAAACTAGAGGAAAAAATACAGCGTGAAAACTAAAGGCTAAATGACTTTTCTGAAGAAGACGAAACTCATTTAAAGCTGAAAGTAGCAGGACACGAGCTGAAAGTAGTAAACAGTAGCAAAACACTGGTGAATAGCTAAAAGCAGCAAAAGGCTAGCTAACAGTAGCTGACTATTAAATAAGTCGTTGACAATTTTAAAGTTGACATAAACATGACTAGTGGACTAACAGAGGCAGCCCTGATTCAGTCCATGATGAGTTTATTTATCTGTGATCAAATGTGTTAAAATCCTGTCCTGGTGCATCTCAGTCATCCAGGTAGAAAAAAAATCAAAAAGAAAAAATAAGTTGGTCCTCTGGATCATAGACATCCATAGACGCCCTATTGGAAGCTGAACGGCACAACCATGTCGCCGCCATATTGGAGGTGGCAGAGAGGAGAAAACAAAATGCCTCGTAGTTGTGCGACTTGGAAATATTCTAACACTTCAGATGTCCAAACAAAATAAGATGGAATTACCTTTCACATGTAGGGCTTAACACTTACTATAGATTGTATTTAAGCCATAGACTGCACGATTTTCACCATTTTAACATTGTTTTAGGAGAGTAAACTTGTCAACAAAAATGCTATGGTTTATTGTTTCCTGCTCACAATTCATTACTATGACATTTACTTTAGACTGCACACAGTATCAGATGAAAAAAAATATATATATACAGTGGGTAAAATAAATATTGAACACGTCACCATTTTTCACAGTAAATATATTACTAGAGGTGCTAATGACATGAAATTTTCACCAGATGT